CTGGCACAAAAACACGCACGCAGGAGATGCCCGTCTCGCTCTCGGTGCGTTTCACACGGGCGCCGCTCTCCTGCACGGCGTCCGATCGCTCCGTCCGGGAGCACCGCGACAGCCGCTCTCAGGAACACGCAGCAGCCGCCACTGCCTCCACCTGCGCTGTACACACACACGGAAGGATTTCTGACACTCACAAATGTAAAGCTTGAGATTTCACAAAGCTCTATGGCCCTGTAAAATTTTTGTGCGTTACAAAGAAAGCAAAACACACATCCTTGGCACAAGGGGCCTTCCTTCTAAATCCTAGTCCAGAGGACAGAGGCATTGGAATCTGAAGGGGCAAAATAATGCATTGCCCATAACATCTTTCTTGGAAGTCACTGAAGTTTCTCAAATATTCAGTCCAAACCATTATGACATGCTATAATTAGAACTATTTCATTATTTTTCAAAATCTTAGCAGCACTGCAGAAATTTAAATGAGTAGTAACCCAAAGAAGGCAAACCAAGCTATGCATCTTGCAGTAGCTGTAATTATTACTATAGAGTTCATATGTTACTTGACACACACTAGAATCAAAATAACTTTATATTCTTCCTTTCAGGAGCTGTTATTAGGTTATCTGGCTGCTCACTACCCCTAATAGCAACTGAGAAGCCACCAGCAGATCTGATGGATTCTGTGCATGTGAGCGTGATGGGTGTTTCTGTAAATTAATACAAACCAGATTAACATAAGTGCCCCCAAAACTAAACAACGATGTGAATCAAAACTGGGAAGTTCGTATAATTAACCTACTTACTGAAACAGGTTTATTAACTGAGAAGCTATAGCTTATATGTTGGAAATGGAAAAAAAAATAGATGTGTCTTATTAGTATATTTAAGTATTAATAACATATTTTTATATTAACTATGAAGCTGTAACTTAACAACTCAAATGATTTATATGTTCAAACAAAATGGCATTCTCCAAGCTATTTTAAATTATACATGCTTAAAAAAGCAGAAAAGAAAGACTTGCTTTTAAAGCATTAATGGACTGTCAGCACAAACTTGGTGTGAGCCAAGCCATACATTTATGAGGAATTCTCCCAAGTGTGTTTTAAACTGCTGAGCATGTGAAAGGTGACCAGATCCTGAAATCAAACAGGAAAAAAAGCCCTTGCTCTAAGACAGCCAGATCATTTTACAGCAGCATTAACAGGGATGGGGGAGAGGCAAAACTCTTCCAAATCCATACAAGGCACACAGTGTTCTGCTCCCAAAAAGGAAATAATAACTTCAGTCCACATTTCTGGAGTGCCATTAGGATGACACACATAAAGGCTCATCCTTGCTTTTTCGCTACTCCCAAGGAGATTCTTTCCCACTTGCAAACACGTTGGGAGAGAGGTTCCAGGAGGGCTGTCGAGGAGAGGGGGCAGTTGCACGATGTCGAGATCAACCTTCAAAAAGCAGCCCCTAGCTGAGAATAAATAAATAAATAAATGAAATCTGCAGGGGATGTAGCGGCAGCAGATGCTACAGCCCTGCAAGCAGGCAGAGCAGCCGGGTGCCGGCTGAGCCCCCTCCCCAGCCACATCCCTGCTGCCCCCACACCTTCTCTCCGGTCACTTCCAGCAGCCGTGTGGCCCTTTCCTTTGGGAGCGGCGCCACTCAGCGCCTCTGGCCCAAACCTGGGCGCAGGGCAGCCGGCCCTACTTTGCCAGCCAGTTTTGATCCCCAAGGGCTGATCCCAGGGCTCAGCAAGCTCATCAGAGCCGATCCTCTCCCACAGGATGCCCCATGCAGTAGGATTCAGGCTGGAATCACAAGGGGAGCACACAGCCCCGCTGAGCTTCTCCACACGACAGGGACCTTCGTTCAGTTTTTAAGGACGATGCAGCCGCGCTTCCCTTGCGGGTTGCAGGCGCTTCCCCCCCGCGCTCGCTCACGGTGGGCACGGTGCTCGCTCCTGCTGAGCCTCACGTGCCCGGCTGCAGGTGTTTCTGCACCGCCACTGCCGCCGGGGAGTTAAGAGCACTTTTGAGCTTCAACCAAACTCCTAGGCCCCTCGGCAGCATTTTCCAGAGGTGCCTGGTGTCCCCTGCCAGCCCTGCTCTTGCACAGGGGAGCCCCAGCCCGCCCGTGGCTACCGAGGGCCAACACGCGTTTCCGCAGGGAGCGGGAGCCAGGTTGGCGTTTACGGGGCGCAGCGCCCCGGTGCCCGGCCCGGCCCGCGGCCCAGGGGTCCCGCGCAGCTGCTGCACTGAGACCTGGCGCCGCCTCGGGGTCGGCAGGCAACTTGAGCCTCCCGCGGCGCCCGCCC